ACAACAAACTCAGGAGTACTATCTGGCTCCAAGGAAACTGAAATTGAAAAAAAAGCCGGTTCACATGGCTTAGATTTTAGTAGGCGGCCGTACAAGTCAACGAACTGTAAGTGAACCCGGATACAGAGATTAGCAGGAGAGAGGCCCCTGTATATTAATCTGATGGAACAGGGAACGCTTCCCTGGGAAAGTGGTAGTGGAGCTGAGTTTTGAAGGGAGACGAGCTTTCGCAGTAAAGGACAAAGGACAAAGGGGAGGTGTGGAAGAATATGGTGTTTGTAGGAAATTGCAAGCAATTGGATATAGCCAGACCGAAGGGATCTGAAATAGCAGGAGGAGAGGCTTCAGAGCCAGTTGGGGTATATCTTGCTAAACTAAGGATTCTGAACTTTACCCTGGAGGCACCCCCATGTGTATCTCTTCAGCCTTATCTCTTAAAGTGTGTGCACCAGTTGCCCCGAACTATTTTCAGTTTCCCAAATGCACGTTTTCACCTCTCTGTGCTTTACTCTGGCTGACAAACACCCAATTTTCCCAGTCTTACATGTTACCTTCTCAAATACTACCCCTGGTATAAAGTTTTTCTTCTTCTTCTTCTTCTTCTTCTGATCAGGTACTGAAAGTCTAATACTTCCTGGAAGGGCATTAGGGTTTGGTAATATAGAAATCACACAAGTCATGGCCCCTGTCCTTAAGGAGTTCACCATATAAAGAAGAAGTTGAGAAATATACCCCCAACAAGAAAGAGTATATTGAGGTGCTCAGTAGGGAAAATCTGCACCATCTAAGTAAATACCCCAGGTTCAGAGACCAGCAGTGGTGAAAGCATGAACAGTTAAGAGAAAAGAACTACACATACTGTTCATGTGTTACGTAGACATTATCGTTCTAAAGTCCATACTTGGCTTTAAAACGTTAGTGAATCTAACACTGGTTAAGCAAAACACTTCAGTATAACAAAACACTTCAAGAGTTTCCACAATGCATATTACCATGCCTTGTGTTTCTGAAATATAACCATGTTTAGTGTTTCTTTTTGCCTGAGGGACCCAATTGAAATTCCCACAGCTTTTAGAAAGATGGAGGTGTGATACAAACATGAAGATACCTTCTTGAGACCATCAACATAAGGCCATGAAATACGATATTGAAAATACTTTAAAAAGCTGCAAGCTCACTAAGTGAGCTTAATTCTTTATTAAGAATAAAGATAATATTTTTTAAAAAAAGAATAAAGATAAGGGGTATATAAATTGATTTTTTTAAAAAAGGAAAACTACTTATTTGCTTGTATGTGCATAAAATATTTCGGAAAGATACCCCAACACTTGTAATATGGTTGCCTGTGGGAGAGAGCTGGGTATTGGAGAGAGGCAGATGGGAGGAAGGCATACAGTATTACCAAATAACCTTTCATGACTTTGGAATATTTAACCCATTTGAATGTAGCACTTATTTGAACATTAAAAAACATCATATGATCTGTTTGTCATTTTTTTCTTCATAGAAATTTATGTCAATGATGCTAAAAATATGTACTGATGAATATTCTGGCTTAACATTTTTAAGGCGCATTCTTATTTACATAAAACAGAAAAAGTAACAATAGGTATGTAATTTTTTTTTAAAGAAATGGGATCATATACATGCTGCTTGTTCCTTGCCCTTTTAATTTATTGTCATCTTATCATCTTCGGATAAATAAACCTACCCTATTTTTAACGACTTCATAGAATGTAGGATGCAGGCACTATAATTTAACCATTGTCCTATTGATGAACATTTTGGCAATTGCCGATGTTTTACAAGCAGTGTTAAATAACAAATATTATTTCTTGTTGAGAAGTTCTCAAATCCATCTTTGGGCATTAATGCAAGTATTTCTGTAAGACAGACATCTAGAATTGAAATAGTTGAGCCAACGTAAATGCAGATTTTAAATTGTAATAAATAATTTTCTATAACAGTTTGTATTGCTGCCAGCAGTGTGAGTGGGCCTTTCCAATATGGGGGATTTTATCTTTTTTTAGTCTTTGCTAACGATGGAGATTAAAAAGTGGTATCTATTGTTTCAATTTGAATTCCTTTAATAGTGTGGTTAAGCATCTTTTAAATAGTATTTATCAACTCTTCTTCTGTCAGTGGCCCTTCTTGTTATTTGATCATTTTTCTGTAGTGTAACTACACTATTTTAATGTGATATAATAGCACCTTTATATTAGGGATAGTGTGTGTACATATATAAATACGTGTGTGTGTGTGTGTGTGTATATATGCCATATGAAGGTTTTAATTTTTATGTAGATACATTTAAAGAAATTTTTAATTGATTTATTGGTTGCTTCTTGTATGTGCCCTGACCGGGGAATTAAACTCACAACCTTGGCATATCAGGATAATGCTCTTACAACTGAGCTACCCCGCCAGGGCTAAATTTTCTTTTTTTAAAATTTATTGGTTTTGAGAGAGAGAGAGAGAGAGAAAGAGAAACATCTATTTGTTGTTCCACTTAGTTATGATTCGTTGGTTGATTCTTATATGTGCCCTTGATTCTTCCCCCCCCAACTTGATTCTTGATTGAACCTGAAATCTTGGGGTATTAAAACAATGCTCTATCCAGCTTAGCTATGCAATGAGTAGGTTAGATAGGTTGCAACACTTCCTTTTTGGCTTTTGTGTTTCTTCTCCCTTCTTTTCCCCTTCTCCTTTTTATTTGTTACACATAGAAAGCCTTCACAAATCCATTATAAATATATTCTCCCAGGTTTTCCTCTAGTACTTTTATGGTTCCATTTTTTACATTAAAAATTTTAATCCACATGAAATTTATTTTGGTGTAAGGGCTGAGGATTATTTTTAAGTAATTGAGATTTATTTTTGTCCAAATGGAGGGCTGGTTTATCTAACACTATTTTAGTACTTTATTTTTTTTCATGACTAATGTGAAATGCCACTTTTATTGTATACTAAACTCCCACTAAAATACATTTTAATTTCTGGTAGTTCCCCTTATTGCTCCTCCTTTTTACAATTTTCCTGGCACTTTCTAGGATTTTTATTTTTCCAGGTAAATGTAAGAATATTTCTAGAAGATTTACCCCATTCCCACTGTCATTTTGAT